GTCGCGCATCCGGCCATGCATCTAAGGCAGAAAGTCTCAAATATGCGCGACCGCACATCTGGGCGCACATATGACACATGTCCAGTAAAATAGCCATAACTTTTTGTATACATATCCAAATGACGAACGGTTGAAGAGTTAGAAACTAGACTCGAAGACCTTTCATTTGATAGGCTGGTCATCACATAACTCTTTATATATATGTAGATATGCTCGTCCAAAGTTTGGTCTTGTGCGTACTCATTTGGAACTTTAGTCTATTATGAAATTTTCCAACTTGGCTTAGACTTAGGACTTTCCTTAGACCCCATATCACTTATAATATGCCTCGTACACTTATTATCATATCCAATAGGTTTCCATCATGTTAATAGTCCTCGAATGAGAAGTAGAGTCCGCCCCCAAACACATAACATAACTTATCTCTTCTTTCGCACATTTCAATTTCTCAAATTTTACTAACTCCCAAAATTTCTAAAAATTTTGCCAGAGTTTCCTTTGTAACTGGGCCTATCCACCTGCCAGAGAATCCGAAAAACTAATCCTAACAACACATACATAATCCAATCAATGTAACATAACATGAAAATAATACTATCAGTGGCCTCATAAGCAATATTTTTCTAGAAAATGAATGACATTAACATCAACTATTCAGGTGATACGTAACTCATAGCAGGTAAGCTCCCAACATCTTCATAAAACACAGAAATGAATGTTTAAATTAAAGATGACATTTTTGGGTCATCACATATAGAGAAGAAGGATTTGCCACTGCTATGATTTCTGCTAAGAAAATTACACTTGAAATGAATATCGAACCCGGAATTCATAAGAAACGTGTTATATATAGGAAGTAACAATTTGATGAGAATGTTGATAATAAAATCTCAAACTATTTCAAAGAGTCCTTTGGAGTTGATTACTTTATACATAGTAGACAAGACTATATTTTTCACTTCAAAATAGATTTAAACAATTCGAAGCGTATGAAAATATTTTTGGTTTTCTATTTAGCGGTAAAATTAAGATCACTAGATGATGAAAATTTGAAAAAATATTACCTTAATCTTGAATGTTCCTTAAAACATAATACTCAATTCGATATTGATGGAGATTTATTTTCGAAATTAAAAATATTAAGAAAAATAGTACAATTAGAAGATAACAACCTAATTGATACACTCTGTCAAAAAAAAAAGATTTGATTCTTTTTCCAATGCCTATATTGCTTATGGAATAATGTTAATAACTCATGTTACCATCGCTTCAGCGGAAAGCAGTTTTCAAAATTAAAATTGATAAAATCTTTTCTAAGATCAACAATGTCTCAAGAGAGGTTAAATGGATTAGCTATATTATCAATTAAGAAAAACTTATTAGGAGTTATTGATTATAAGAAAATTATTAATAACTTTGTATCTAAAGAAAAACAGACTTCAAATAAATATATATATATAATTTTTTTTTAAAAGTTAAGGCCCCTCATAAAGTTTGTCTTTAGACCACAAAACTCGTCGGGCCGCCCCTAATATACCGGATATATTGTTATTATTGTGGATAAACGTCTCCTCTTTCTTATGTGGATGGATAACTATTGGACCAAGAAGTTATACACGATATATACAACTTTAATTAACGAAGGAGAGTGTTGATTGCCTCCCATTCTTAATAGTATGATTTACTACTCCCTCGGTACATTTTTACTTGTTCAGTATTTTAAAAATAAATTTTAATTTTTACTTGTCACTTTTAACATATCAAAAGAAGATAATTTCTTTTTTCTTGTTATACCCACAATATTAATTACTTTTACTTGTCATTTTTAACATATCAAAAGAAGATAATTTCTTTTTTCTTGTTATACCCACAATATTAATTACCCATTTCAAATTATTTTCTCAAATTCATTAAAAATATGCATCAATTAATATGGATATCATGGTAAATTATGTATTTCATTTATTATTTCTTAATAGGTGTGCAAAGTTCATAGTGGACAAGTAAAATTGAACGGAGAGAGTATGAAATAGCAATAGTCCCCAATGTCCGTACGGATTTTCGGTCCACCATAATTAAAGTTTTTGTACCTCACATTAATAATTAAGTGAGGATAAAGTAAGTTATCATTCCCTCTGCAACTTGAATTGAGTTTCAAGAATTAAATTTGAGATTTAAAATAATAACTAAATTTTGGAATTTTTTTCTTAGCATGTATTACAATAAGAAGTAAAATTTTTGCTTGTTGTGGACTGAGGTTTTTCCCGTTATACAATGTTTGGTACTCCGTTAGAGGCTTCTTTTCTTTAAAAATAATATAAATTATTTTAAAAGAGATACGACATAAGGCAACAAACATAAGTTTCTATTTAAACCTTTTTTTTTCAATTTTCCTTTTTAAACTTCACGGTAGTAAATTATATACTACATTGATAATTAAAAAACATTACACTATCAGTATAGTTTTACCAGCTATATCAAACAACTTATTATGTTTTTGCAAGTTTACTGTTTCTACTTTTTATAGAAAATTACATAATTTGATATTGTATATTTTTTTATAATATCAGTGTATGTTAGTGAAACTCTAAACTAGCCAGGACTTGTAAACTACTTTTTGAATTCTCATGTGGTTTATTAATAGGAAAAAGAATTTTGTACACATAATTGAAATAATTAAATAATTAGTTCACTATAAATTTTGAGCGTAAATTACAATCACTTACCTCTTGTTTGGAAATACTACAAACACTTCCACTTTAATTTGAGAAATTATGGCTACACCTCCTCTCCTCCCCATAGGACATTCATATCATTGTTCAAACAATAGACCTTATTTAGATAATATTTGGTTAAGTTGAAGTTGAAAAAAATCATTAATTTGCATATAATTTTCAATTTTTTGCAAATAATGCATGCATTCAAATTATATATTTAGTGGGCGTTTGGACATAAGAATTATAAAATTTCGGAAAAAATGAAAAATAATTCAAGTAAAAATTAGAATTATGTCTAGACAAGAATATAATTTTGGATTGTTTTTGAATTTTTGTGAGTGATCTGAAGTGAAAGTTTTGAAAAACATCTTTTGGAGTTTTTAAAATTTTCTAAATTTTTTTGAAATTCACCTTCAAGTGAAAATTGAAAATTTCATGGACAAACACTGATTTCGAAAAAAAGTAAAAAAAGATCAATTTTTTTTTTTTCTGGCCAAATGGGCCCTTAAAATCCTTTAAAATGATCAAGAAGAGAGGGAGAAAAAGTGTAAAATCCACGTAGAAGTTTCGAGAAATATCTCTTTTGGAAAAGCAAAAAAGCAGAGAAATTAGAAATTAAAAAGATAGAAAAAACGGTGGATAATAATAATAATAATAATAATAATAATAATAATAATAATAATAATAATAATAATAATAATAATAATAATAATAATAATAATAATAATAATAATAAGCAAAAAAGGAAAAGAAACAATGAGCGCCGTGGGAAACAAAAAGGGTGAAGCCCTTGGAAGTAGAAAAACAACTAGCGGTAACAAGTTGAGTGGAGAGCCTTATCCATTATTTCAATACCTTCCAAAGTTCACGACTCACTCGCCCGCACCAAAGGTGTATAACACACAATTCTTTTTAAATCCCAAAACATATTTTCAATCTAAATAGTAGAATTAAAAAGAAATATATAACGTATATATATCGTCAATGTACATAATTTCTATTTTATAGTGCACATTTTCATCTTCCACAAAACACTAAATATTGTTATTGATGCTAGTAGAGGCTCTTTCTAACTTGTTCTACAGTGTCAGTTTGCCTCACCTCACCTCACCTCCATCCATTTTATCGTGCATACGCTAGTTTAAATAGTATTTATTCTATCTCAATTTGTGGAGATACTGTCCTTTTCAATTTATTGCAAAAAAAAAGAAAGAAAAGTGAAGCGAGTGATAAGAAGATCGACAACATAATTGAAGTAAAAAGAGAGGCGGATTTAAGATTTAAAGGTTTTGAATACCATATTGCTCTAGATTTTAACTTGATCGTTTTTGAGTTTCCGTTCGAATTATTCGTTTTTTGGGTTTATAGACAAATCGATCAAATAAAATAATTTAATATTATAGTGAGCAAAGCATAAATCTTCATTAATATAACTAATAATATCAATAAAAAATTCGACGAATTTTTCGTACTATAAAATTATGATTTGACTAAAAGATAGGCAAATAGGACTAAAACACGCCATAACTATATATTTAGCTACTCAAAACAAAAACTTAAGGAGCGAATCTCCCGTAAGCAGCAAGATAGAACTAGTTATAAAAAATGCAGAAGCCTGGGTCAATCCCACGCCCTGAGGATGAAACTTTAAGCCCTGCGCCGGTGGCACCAAGCCACCATTCATTACTCTAGGTGTCACTTCATTAATTTACCCAATTTTCTATATATACATACATATAGATACAACGTTTTGACCGAGGTGTGGGGGTGGCCACCCTCTTCCTCCTTAGTAGATCCGCCCCTGGAAGTAAACGAAAAAACTAACTTACTCTATATTGTAGTGCGATGAATATGATCCACTTTTAAATAAAGCTTACGAATTTGAATCTTGAAAATAACTTTTTTTTATAAAAAAATACTTCTTTCTTTTATTGAATCTTACAACCTAAAATCCGAATTAATTGAAGCTACCATACGGATGCACAATGTCAGATATAAGCAAAAAAGAAGAAAACATTAAGCCTATAGTAGGTAAGTTAAATGGAAAAGGCAAAGGAAAAGGAAAAGAAAGTGGTGTCCACGCGCCGAGGATGAAGGTGGGTAGAAGGCAGTTCACAATCCATTTTCTTTCCATTTATAGTACAGTAGGGACAAGTGGTAAATTAGGTCGGGGGGACCAAAATAGAAAGAAAGTGGATAACGCCGAATCTTTTTTTATACCTATCAGATAATATTAAATTTGAAAGGATTATATATATTTATAGTCCCTTTCTTCTTATCCTTTTCCTCTATCTTCCCACAACATTCCCAACTTTGTAACCTTATTTTAAGGTAGTGTTGCTTATCAATTCCTTCACCATATTCAAAACACTGTTTAGCTAATTTTAATTCATTTAACATAGAGAAATTTGTATTCTGTATGTTGGATTTTTGTTACTTAGATGATGAGTCTGAAAATGGGTTCAGTTTCTTACAACCAACAAAACAACCATGGGATCATGGTTGAGCAAAATCAAGATTCTTTGTGTACTGATTCGTCTTCAGAAGTTTCTAGTAATTTCTCGTCGTCTGCAGACGACGAGTTGTTTGGTGAAGAAGAGGGAGAAGAAGGGAACTTTTATTCTTCATCTTCTGATCCAACTTCTCCTAATTCTTCTGGTAGTTCAAGTCATGAGCGCACAACGGGAGCTTTGCAAAATATGTCCTCTCTTCTTCAAAAACTTCCCTTCAAGTAAGAACCGTTTTTATGGTCTTATTTTTTAATTTTTTTTTTAAGTGGTTAACTTTTATATACGTTACTACACAACCGTCCATAATAAATTGGCTTAGTAATGAAAATTCTATCCGTTTACTTTTATTTATTCACTGTACTAAAAATATATTTTTACTTTTATTCTTTTATTTTAGCAAATAATAGAGAAAGATAATTTTTTTTGTTGTGTTCCTCTTATCACTTAACTACTTATTTTTTTATTTTTTTTGAAATGCTATTATTATTAAGGATTATATAATAAAATATATATTATAGTTATTATTTTTTTTAAGGGCGTAAAAAGTTAAGTATTGACTAGTAAAAATGAAAGGAGGGAGTATGGGTTGAGATTATGTTCTACTGATGTTACTACGACTGTTTTAGGACATATGTTTTTTTTAGGATTCTTTAAGTTCTATCATAGATTCGTCAATTATATAAAAATATTTATATAACTTTTGGTAGTAGTATTTTTTATATTTATTTTTATTTGTACAATATTAATCTAATATAGTGCTATGATGATGTTCAGATTTCGAGAATCAAACCAGTTATTCATGGATCATAATTTTTCATGTCTTTCAAATAATTTAAATTATTAATTATTGTGGTTTGTAGTATTTTTTACGTAATTTTTAAATAATTAAAAGATTGTATATCCAAATATACGATCAAAATTAATTAAAAAGTTTGAAATCTGGAAACACAAAAAGTGTCACGTAAACAGAGATAGATGGAATAATTTTATGTGGAACGACATGGTTAGTGAAAAGTTATTCCAAATTGTTTGAGATTGATACATATATGTTGTATTGAACCTGTTGATTGATATAATACGTATAAATATTTTTTTGAACGGTCAACTATATAACCTAAATCCTTTCTAAATATTTTTCTCGTATATTTTACGGAGATGCTAATTGTTGTGTTGGTTAAATAGGAGAGGATTGTCAAAGCATTACAATGGAAAATCACAATCATTCACCTCTTTATCAAATGTGAGTAGCTTAGAGGACTTGGCCAAACCTGAAAACCCATACAACAAGAAACTCAAATCATGCAAAAGCTATGGAGTATTTTTGGAAGGTTTTAAATCAGATCATCACCAGTCTCCTCCTACAAGAAGAGGCAGCAGTTCTTCAAAACTCAACTCAAAGAAAACAAACAGAGTTGGATCATATTCATCACTTAGGGGAAGGAGAAATGGTAGCTTTCTTGGAAATAATAATAGACCTCCTGTTCCTCCACATAGATCAACTAGTTTTACTAATCCAACCCCTTTATTTGCTTGACGTTTTTTTTTTTTTTTCAATTTTTCTTAAAAGAGTTCACCAAATGTATTTTAATCTGTGTTCTTGTTTGGTTGATCGCTTTGATCTTCAATGTCTAAACGAAGAGTCTCTTTTGTGTTTTCTGTCCTTCTACAAGCGGAAGACATGTTCAAGCAAAATAACCATCAAATGCTAATTGATGTTGAAATAGAGTTCTTACAAAAGTATTTTTATTATCGGATGAGGCAGAATTAAAACTTGGAGATTGTATTTTCGAATTTATGACTTGATTCCTCTTCTTCCACTTAGTGCTCGGGAAATAAAAATGAAAATCTAGGCACCGAGTATAACATAAGCGAAAGTAAGATATATCGATAGATTCAAAGTAAGTGTAATTTTATTATGTTATATTCTTTATACGTATATTCTCTTCTGTTGGGAATAAATTCCCCACAGAAATAATATCAATGGTAATAAAAGTGGAATAATAACGTAGCACTGAGATATGATAATTAACAAGAATAAAATAGTAACAACGACACCAAGATTTTTACGTGAAAAATCCTTTTGAATAAGGGAAAAAATCACGGCCCCGAGATGAGCAATCGATATCACTATAGCAAAGAATTTTACACTTTGTAGATCCGAGTAAAACACTCTAAAGATCACTACAACACTCAAAAGAAATAACCCTCTTTTGATATTCCACCTCACTACAATATCGCGTACTTTCTATTTTTCTCACAGACTATTTTTTTATACCTTGTCTGTGATGCCTCACTCATTCTCTCTCTCTTTGTTGGTGTGTAGAAATGATAGCCGAAGCTCTCCTTTTATAAGCGGAACCTCATTCTCTCACGCCTACTATATTTGACATTTTTTCTTCTGCAGATTTGCAAATCCCATAGCCTAAATCTCATAGCCTACCAATGTTGACAATGCAGAAAAAAAAAAGTGGCTTCCAATCAAAGGAAGAAAGTTATCTTCCTTAATTTATGGGATGGACCCCACAAATCTCCCCCTCCAGTCTCATTCACCTGAAGGAGGTAACACCGGAGGTTCTAGTTCGAGTGCATGCCGACAAGTTCTTTGCATAGCTTAAACTTGTCTCTTGGTACTACCTTGGTCAGCATATCCGCAGGATTCTCACTTGTATGGATCTTCTTGACCCGCATAGATTCATCCTTTATCCTTTCTCGAATCAAGTGATATCTCACGTCGATATGCTTCGTCCTTGCATGATACATGGTGTTTTTTCTCAGGTCTATTGCACTTTGACTGTCACAATAGACGACATACTCAATCTGATGTAATCCAGGCTCTCGAAGGAATCGTTTCAGCCAAACCATCTCCTTGCGAGCTTCAGTAGCGGCAATATACTCTGCTTCAGTTGTAGAGAGTGCAACACACTTCTGCAACTTCGACTGCCATGATATAGCTCCCCCTAAAAATGTGAACAGGTATCCTGTAGTAGATTTACGATTATCAAGATCACCTGCCATATCAGCATCCATGTAGCCCTTCAAGATTGGATCAGATCCTCCAAAACACAGGCAATCTCCTATAGTACCTATTAGATACCTGAGTATCCACTTGACTGCTTCCCAATGTTTCTTTCCAGGATTTTCAAGGAATCTGCTAACAACACCGACTGCATGAGCAATATCAGGTCTGGTGCATACCATTGCATACATCAAGCTTCCGACTGCTGAAGAATAAGGAACTCTAGCCATGCTCCCTTTCTCCTCTACTGTTGTAGAACACATCTTCTTGCTCAACTTTAGATGACTAGCAAGAGGTGTGCTGACTGGCTTAACATTCTTCATGTTGAAGCGTTCCAGTACACGTTCAATGTACTTCTCTTGAGACAGCCACAACTTTCTGCTTGTTCGCTCTCGAACTATATTCATACCCAGAATTTGTTATGTTGGGCCCAAATCCTTCATATCAAATGACTTAGACAGATCTCCCTTCAACTTTGCGATCAGCCATCTGGTTTTTCCTACAATTAACATGTCATCCACATACAACAACAATATAATAAAGTTATTCTCAAAAACTCTTTTGAAGTATACACATGGATCAGAATAAGTCTTTATGTATGTTTGACTTTTCATGAATGAGTCAAACTTCTTGTACCACTGCCTTGGTGCCTGCTTCAACCCATAAAGACTTTTATTCAGGTTGCACACTATGTGTTTTCTTTCAGCTACTTCAAATCCTTTTGGCTACTCCATATAGATCTCCTCTTCTAAATCTCCGTGAAGAAATGCAGTTTTCACGTCCAACCGCTCCACTTTAAGATCTAGGCTAGTTGCTAAGCTCAAGATTGTTCGAATATAAGTCATTTCGACAACAGGTGAGAAAATTTCGTCAAAATCAATACCTTTCTTCTGTTCGAAGCCTTTAACCACCAATCGAGCTTTGTATCTGACCAACTTTCCATTTCCATCTTTCTTGATTTTAAAGACCCACTTACATTTGAGTGGTCTTTTACCCTTCGGAAGTTCAACCAGCTTGTAANTGCTCCCCCTGCTCGGCAACCTCGTCGGTCCTACTTTCTGCACTTGTGGGATTGTTAGAAGTAGGAGGAATAGTAACTAGGTTAGGAATTATACCATTTTTGGCCTTCTCTAGCATATCGTCAGCAGTTCCAATTTTACTTTCTCGAAAGACTACATCTTTGCTTCTGATGACCTTCTTCTTTGCAGGATCCCACAATCTGTATCCGAACTCTTTATCTCAATATCCTATGAATATGCAAGGAACAGATTTATCATCCAGCTTTGTTCTCTTCTCCTTTAGTACATGTGCAAAAGCTCTGCAACCGAACACCTTCACATGCGAGTAGGACACCTCTTTGTTGGTCCAAACTCTCTCTAGGATGTCAAACGCCAACGGAACTGATGGACTCCTATTGATTAGGTAACAGGCTGTCTGAACTACTTCACCCCAGAATGACTTAAGCAGTTTAGTCATTCTGAGCATGCTTCTCACCTTCTCCACAATTGTGTGGTTCATCCTTTCGGCTACGCCATTGTGTTGTGGGGTTCCAGGAACTGTCTTTTCATGTCTGATCCCATGGCTCGAATAGTACTCTTCAAATTCCCTTGAAGTGTACTCACCTCCGTTGTCACTTCGGAGACACTTTAGCTTTTGGCCCGTCTCCCTTTCCACCATAGCATGAAACTTCTGGAAAACTTGAAACACCTGATCTTTGGTTTTCAAAATATAAACCCATAATTTTCGTGAAGCATCATCAATAAAAGTAACAAAATATTTGTTACCGCCCATTGATTCAATTTCCATT